TCAGCAAGCGGACCTGACCTAGGGTGGATTTTATATTGGGTTTTAAATATTCGGAAGACGCAACATTAAAATTCGGTTTAATTCGGTTTTAAGGGGGGGATTGTATATATGTTCTGGTTTTAAATATGTTGTGCGCCGCCCTGAGTCCCTGTCGGGAGAAGGGCGGCATATAAATTAAATTAAATAAATAAATAAATAATAAATTAGACTCCTTGCCTACAAAGTTTGCTTTGTTTTTTTTTCTCCCCAGCTTTTTCAGTTGGTATATGGGGACAAAAATTCTACTAACCAAATGCTACTAACCAAGTCATTTGCTACAATTAAACATAATTAATTTTTCCAAAAGTAGAAGATACATCATTTTGCCTTTCTTTTTACTCTGCCTGTACTGCTAACATTTTAGCAGTGTTCGGCAGCATTAATAAATATAACTTCATTATAGGGTAAATACTCAGCAATCAATCCCACTGGTTTGATTAGATAGTAAATACCCACACACCCAACCTGTCTTTGAACTGATATGTTGGCATTACAGTTCCAAAATTCCCAGACAACATGACCAGACTTGCAGTGTATCTGGGAGAACATTGTGCTAGGGAAGTCTGAATTCATTGTCACATAATTTAGATACAAAAAAAATTGTGTACAAAAAATGTTGAACTACAGTATGTACCATGTTGAGATGTATTCTCAATCTAGTATGTATATTTAAAATATACATTTACACTGAAACACCAATTCTTTGTGGTTGCTTTCAGAGAGAACCTCCCAAGCCACTTCAAATTTAAGGACTACTGTCCACTGGTATTCCGAAATCTCCGGGAAAGGTTTGGGATTGATGATCAAGACTATCAGGTAGGGAGCAAGCTGACAGCTTTTCATTGAGATATGTCAAAATAATTGAGATATGACAAAAAGTATTTCTGGCTTTGTGGGAATTGGGAATTGTCCTTGTGCAAGAATGGGACCAGTATCAAGAGACAAGTTGAATTATTTATTGTATTGATTGCATTTATATTTTCCTCCGAAGAGCTCAAGATTGTATACATGCTTTCTCCAGCAAATGGAGGAATGTAGACTCCACGGATGGGTGTTATTTGTCCTCTAGCCCAATCAGACCAAAACAATCAAAGTAGCCACGCCCCTTCAGGGTCTGACCATGTCCCAGTTTCTTTTGGTCTCAGCCCTGAAGAGACGTGTAATTTGGCTCCTGATTAGCTTTAAAGAATTCAGGTAGTACAATTTTCCATCCGTGGACTCTTTTACCATTCCTGGTGGGAGGAAATTAGTCCAGCTCTATTCAGAGCCGTGAGGAATTCAACCTTCTCCTCTGACAAACCCCTGCAGAGAAGTGGCTGATCGTTTCAAACGCTGCCTTGTGCAGCGTGGCGATCGCCATTCCTCCTCCCCCCCTCCCTCTTTTATTTGGGTTCTTCTTTAGGCTCAGCTCCTAATAGTCTCCTTGCCCAAGCTTTCTTTCCTTCTTCGCCGTTTTCTGCCTGCTTTCTTCAATCGAAGGCACTCTCCAGGCTTCCTTTCCCTCAGGGGAATATTCAAAAAAAAAAAATACTTTCTTTTCACTCGGATCGGCGCGGCCGCCATTTTGGAGACCTACGCACGATCGCTTCTAAAATTCAGAGAGAAAGCCTATTTACTGGACGGGGAGGCTTCCTCTCTCGATAATTAGTTCAGAGAGTCTGTCCCAGGGGACATAGGGGCTCCTATTCCCCTCCGTCGGGGCAAACAGCTAACTTTCAGCTCCGGATCGTCGCGGCCGCCATTTTGGGCCTCCGCGCGATCTCAGCGTTACCGGGAAGATTCTCCTTCCTAAGATTGCAAGCCTCCCCCATTGCCTCATTTGAGAGAGAGGCATTTTCAAGCGGGGGCATAGGGGATCCTATCCTCCCCCTATTAGACAGGTCCTTTGGCCTTTTGTCCCCCCCCCCCCCATCTTTGGACAGACGCCATTTTGATCGGCCTCGTGGCTGACAGAGAGAGTTTTCCCTAGACATACCTCCTCACAGAAATTACTACAACTTCATTAATCTTCAGCCTTTTATATTCCTGCCTGCTAGTCTTTTTCATTCAAGTGAATCAACTGGACTGCTGTGACTTGCTTGCCTGTTCCGCTGTCTGCATCTGGTGGCTGGCCAGTTGCTGTCCTAAGGCACGAGGGTTCCCTGCTGTCCTAAGGCACGAGGGTTCCCTGCAAAAAAAAAAATTAAATTAAATTAAAAATTATTTAAAAAAAAAAAAAATTAAAAAAATTAATTAATTAGTAGATTATTGTTGATCATTCAACCCATCAATTCTTCATTGATTAGGGAACAGGACAGCTCCCTTGGGCTGAACGCGGCTTATTTCGCGTGGTGTGACTCCGTGCTTGTCGGTGGGCCGGACCTCACAGACCCTCGTGCAGGCCTGTCCCATCTAGGTGGGCCGTAGCCTTGTCTTCTGCAGATCAGGACGGATCCAGGGATCTCCTGGTGAGCGCCTGTTGTCTCCTTGTTAGTGTACTGCAGATCAGGACGAATCCAGGGATCTCCTGGTGAGCGCCTGTTATCTCCTTGTTAGTGCACTATGGCGGATAACACCGTTCCACAGGCTTCCACCTCTGGTGGAAATGCAAAACGCAAGTCGCCCAACCAGGAAGCACCATCAAAAGCCAAGGCCAAGGTCAAACGGACCTCTAAGACGGCAGAGAAGCAGGCAGACAGCAGACATAGAGCGTTGGAACGACAATTTTCCAGAGCACAACAACGCTCAACGCAGGTACAACCAGTTCCCACTTCCCTCACCATTGCATCCACTTCTGAGGGGCTACGTCCTTCTCCCCTTCCACGGGCTTGGTCCCCAGAGCACACTCTCGATCCCTCGCCTGGTTTCAGTAGGGATCATCTGTCCCTATTTGACCAAGGTCTGAGGATGCAAATCCAGGACCCCGATCCGACCACCGATACGGGCCTATCCCAAAGAGCATCTGACATCCAGGGTGAGCCTTCTTTTGTGCCCTCCCCCCAGATTCTGTCGGCATCATTCACCCCGACGGCGGCGGGCCTCCGGTCCCCGGAGCATCCATCTTTCACCGCCCAGCTTCAGGCTATGATTTCACAGGCGGTGGCTCAAGCAATGGCATCTTCGGGGAGAACCCCTCAGGTCCCAGGGACCTCTTACCCTTCCACATCTGGAGAAACTCCACGTCCTAGGGATTATGAGCACCCAGATCCAGCTTCTCCACTGCAATCGGAGGGAAGTGTGATCTCGGACTATTCCGAGCAGGTCCTTGAGGAGGGCCTGTGGTCAGATGACGAGGTCGCACATACGGAGGCAACTCCTCTGGTTGGGGTATTTAACCCGGCTCTATTTTCCTCTCTCTTGCGCAAGGCCTGCGTTACCGGGAAGATTGAACCGGTGAAGCCCCAAACAGCCAATCAGGACTCTGCTCTGAGTTCTGATCCACTGTTCCAGAAGCCTGTCACAAAGAACCAACAGATTCCTTGTCCCCCCATGTTTCTTCAGTCCATTGAAGATCAATGGGGATCCCCTGGTACCTTCTCAGCTCTTGGGGGTATAGACCGTAAACTCTTAGATACGGTCCCTTCCCTCAACGAGGTTTTAGAAGT